TCAGCGACACAGCCATTACGCTAACTGCTGGTCCCCTTTTTATTTTGATATTTTCTAACTCCTCCTTTTATACCAAGGAGGGACAAATGAATTGCCTGAAGTTACAGAAGTTTTCTGAAGGAACAACATTGAAATTGGACTATGCTGGATGTTTAGGGGTGGAGAAAAATGTCAGTTTTGGGAGGGCATTCTAGGCCTGGATGATGGCATAAGTAATGGCTATCTCCTTTCTCCACCTACACACACACACACACACACACACACACACACACACACACATGCACACACACACACATTCTTCTCCCTCAGGGATCCCTGATAGCCACAGAGCCCCTGGTGTTGACAAAATAACAGAACTCCCCCTTTTTTTAAAAAAAAAGAATTATTTTAGGGAACCAGCAGTTAGCATAATGGCTATGTCGCTGGACTCCCACGTAATCGACCACGGTTCGAGTCCCGGACCCGGTGGCTTAAAACTCACGCCAGGCGCGTGTGCGTACGTGCCCAAGATCCCAAGAGGAGAATGGAAGAGAAGGGATTGCGGCGTGACCATCCCCCCTGGGGGTGATTTCTCACTGTCTCTATGTCTCTCTCTGTCTGGCGAGCGCACGTGCCCTATAGCGAAAAACCTCTCAAAAAAAAAAAAAAAAAAAGGGCCGAAGCCGGGCTGGCCGTCTCACATCATAACAAAAAAAAAAAGGAATTATTTTAGTTAACTTTATTTATTTATTCATTTTAATTTGACCAGAGAGGGACAGAGTGAGAAAGAGAGAAGGAAAGTGAGAAAGCAAGCCTCCAGACCCAGGACTTGAACCATAGTTGGCCATGTGGGATTCCAGCACCCTTAACCATCTTGCCACCTGCCGGCCCCCTGAACTTCCCTTGCGTTAGGGCACCCTGGAATCAGGGTCTACTCTTTTAGGATGAAGCTCTGGGATTCCAGGAAGGGGTAGGCTCCCACCTCTTCCAGCAGGAAGTGCCTCACAGGTCTCCACTACAGGAGATTCCCTGCTCATCACTTGAATCTCGCTTCTTTACATACTGACTTTGTCCCATATCTAGCCCAGGAAAGCACATCTTTTCTGTCTGTTGACCGAAGCGGAAATGATCACAGCTGGCTTGCACTGGCAGCCTGACTCTGAGTCCTCTAAGTAATCATGTCCAGCCCAGGGCAGGTGCACGGAGCGGGGAGGTGGAGGGGGAGATACCACAGGTAGCACAGGGACATTTCTTCCAAAATCTTTCTCCCCTTCCTTAGTGTCTTCATAACCTTCAACACTTTTTCCTCTTCCCTTCCCCACATGCAAGATTGATTTTTCTCTGGTTCTTTTCCTACCACTAACAAAGGGGAATTTCTTAGCTCAGGAGTAAGTGTCTTGGGGATCCAGGCTCCCGGGATCTCTGAATCCGACTCTGTAGGATGCCCAGTCACCCCAAGATTGGCAAAGACCTAGCTTTCCATCCATCTCTGAGGCTGAATATCCTCGACACAAATGGCCTCTAGAATTGGCACACTTGCCTCAGCTTTGGACCTGAGCACTGACTGCCAGACAGAGCTGCTAGACCAGTCGCTGGGGAGGCATGTCCCTTGGCCTTCTTGTTCTCTCCAGTTGTCATGCCAAAGAAATAGCTCACTGGCAGAACAGAACGTTTTCCTCAAATGTCCACCTTTAGCTTCTGACATAACCAAACGCAGGTGGTTGGATCTCACTATGGGAAAAATCCATAAACAAAGAGAATTTTAAAAATACTCAGAGAATTTCCCTGCATAGTTAACAGGTATGTATTGGGCTGTCAGAAAAGTGATGACGTACCTTTCCTGTTTTTCTATGCAAAAGTGTAATGACTTTTCCGACAACCCAATACATTCAAAAGGATTCCTCCAATAAGAGCAGTGATTTTGAGTTATTTTACCCACTCTTCAGAGAGATATTTAGGGGTTGGTGGAGTGAGGGAGGTAGGATGTCAACTTAAGATAATTGGGGAAGAAGAAAATTTTGGAAATTGTAACGGAAGTCAGTGGTGATAAGAACCTGAAGTTTTATTAAGAATTATTTTACTATTACTATTATTATTATTATTATTATTTGGAGAGGTTTTTGCTACAGGGCACGTGCACTTGCCAGAAAGACAGAGACAGAGACAGAAAGCGAGAAATCACCCCCTGGGGGGATGGTCACGCCACAATCCCTTCTCCTCCATTCTCCTCTCGGGATCTTCGGCACGCACGCACACGCACCTGGTGTGAGTTTAAGCCAGAGTCTGGGACTTGAACCGTGGTTGATGACATGGGAATCCAGTAACATAGCCATTACGCTAACTGCTGGTCCCCTATTATTATTGATTTTTAAAAATTTGACCAGAAAGAGACAGAGAAAGAGAAAGTGAGAAGGCAAGCTGCCAGGTCCAGGACTCAAACTGCAGTCAGCCATGTGGGAGTCCAGCACCTTAACCACATCACCTGCAGGCCCCAAGAATCTGAAGTATTCTTTTTTTTTTTTTTTTTTTTTTTGCTATAGGGCACATGCGCTCGCCAGAGAGAGAGAGACAGAGAGACAGAAAGCGAGAAATCACCCCCCAGGGGGGATGGCCATGCAGCAATCCCTTCTCCTCCATTCTCCTCCCAGGATCTTGGGCACGCACACACAGGCGCCCAGCATGAGTTTTAAGCCACTGGGTCCAGGATGCGAACTGCGGTCGACTACATGGGAGTCCAGCGACATAACCATTATGCCAACTGCAGGTCCTGAATCTGAAGTATTCTAATTTATTCCCTTCCCATGACAGTTTGTGTAAACTGATGTGTACTTGAACCCCATGGTACAGAACCAAGATCTGGGCCAAGTGCCCATCTGGGAAGAGGAAGGCTAACTAGCCAGTCCCTAATGGGTAGGTGCAGGGAGGAGACTAGATCACACCAAGTTCCAGACTAAAGCCCTCAACCCTCCATTCCTTTCTTGGGAACGGAATAGGTCTTAGATTGCCCAAAGGTGGGTAGCTAAGAGAAGCTGGAGTCCAGACTATGAACAACCTGTCAGTATCCAGCCCCGGCACCTGCCGCCTCCTTTTTACAAGGCAGATTATCCAGTAATCTGCCAAGGTATGTGGGGAAGACTTACCTAAATGGGAGGCAAATGACATTTTTAGGCTAGAAGACTATTTAAGGAGGAAAGGAGACAGCACAGGCCAGATTTAGGAGGGCAGGGAAGGAAAAGTAATTACCAACTCATCAACAGACCAGATTTTTTGTTCAATGATTCTTGAGGATACTAAAATGAGACCCTCCACTATCCCCTCTATAGCCTAAAGCCAGATTTCTCCAGAGAGGACAAACTACAGGACCCCTTGAGAAGAGTGGATGCCTGGACAGCAAGATTGGAAAGATTAAGAACTCAGTGAAGTAACACTTCCCTCATGCCCAAGACAAAGACAGCCTCAGAAACACTTTTCCTCCAGCTGTGTTCACTGAGTCAATAAAGAGGCTAAAGCAATTAGCTCAGGAAGTTTGGAACGCCTCAATTCTATATAAAACAGATGTAGGTATCCAACATTGTTTTCATTAACGAAGTGTCAGATTCATCTCGATTTGCTGTCTGGTGACATCATCACTTGGGTTCTTTTCCTACCTCCCTTAACAGCCTTCTTGGAGGCAGCGACCTTGTTCTAATCACTGTCACGCGCCCTTTTGTGCCTAACAGTGCCTGGCACATTGCTGGTCCTCAGTGGAGATCTGATAAACCTAGCTGAACACGAATGGGCAAGGCACCCAGATTAAAACTCCTTTCAAAAGAAACTAGAACCGGGAACCAGCAGTTAGCGTAATGGCTATGTCGCTGGACTCCCACGTAGTCGACCGCGGTTCGCGTCCCGGACCCGGTGGCTTAAAACTCACGCCGGGCGTGTGTGCGTGCGTGCCCAAGATCCCGGGAGGAGAATGGAGAAGGGATTGCAGCGTGACCATCCCCCCTGGGGGGTGATTTCTCGCTTTCTGTCTCTATGTCTCTCTCTGTCTGGCGAGCGCACGCGCCCTATAGTGGGAAAAAAAAAAAGAAACTAGAACCTAGAGCCTAAGAAAAAATGTTCTAAAGCCCTCTCCTCTGGGTGGGAGCCTAAGGCTGTGGCCACTTCCCAAGGCCTGGCTTCTCAGCTTTACCCAAGCTTGGCAGGGGTACTCCCCCTCCTGCAGTCAGCTGTGTGCATTTACGCCATCCTTTCTCTACGATATTGATACTAGCGAACCCAAAACTGGTCCCTCCCTCTCTCTCCAGCCCAATAACGAGATGTGTACATCTGAAGAAACAGTGCTTCCATAATTTCTCTATCATCAAAGTGAATCGATGAAGCTTCTGAGTTATTAAGCAATCCATAACATTTGTGACTGGTTAACTTTAATTTGTCAAAATAAATCTGCAGTATTTTGCATGTTAGTAATACAGTGCTGGTATTGACAGGTAAAATCATCATCTGCTTACATAGAAACCTTCATTTAGGAGCACACCTTAGGAGGGAAATGGATACACAATAAAAGGCAAATGCAGGCCAAGCAGCGAGCCCTAGAGCATAACAGGCTGGATGTCAGATTTGAAGATTATCTAATACAACTGTTTAGCTGCCAATCTGATAAAGGGGAAGCTCTCAACCAGGTTACAACCAGAAGGGAAAACATACTCTGCCTTTTCGTAGAGTGGTGGCCAGTCGTGCCTTTAACACATGGTTGCATCAGTTCATCAGCATCAAAACTCAATTCCAGTTCCAAGACAGAATTTCACTGCACAACCTATTTACCCCCCCTTGTCAGTTGCCCACCTTCGCCCCCATCCTGTCGTCTACTCTCCCTCCCAAAACAAGACACGACGTGGCTTTATTATTGCAGACAAGCTTCTTAAGTGAATAAAGAATGCATACAAAATAGCATTTTAACTGAAGTCATACAATGAAGTTTCACTCCTGTTTATTATACAATGATAAAACAATCATTTCTAATATATATCTTTTTTTTCTTTTCTTTTCTTTTTTTTTTTTTTAAAGAACTAATACTTTCAGGGTTCTGACAACCACACTCTAGCCTGAGGGTAGAGCCCACACCTGTGCCCACTGAAGACTGCTCCTTAGACCATTGTGGAGGAAGCCTGGGCTGTCGAATCATGGAAGATCGTGATTGACAACCCATCAGAGAGATGACAGGTTCCAACAGGCAGAGTCAGAACCCAGTCTTGGGTCTGCATACCAGGAAAGGTAGACTTCCTCCAAACATGGCCCCTGCCCTTCCAATCCAGGCCTCAGCAGGGCCCTTCTTGGGCCATCCCTACATAAGTCCTTCCAGTAGTCCACACATAATGTTCTACATATTAAAAACAAACCATTTTTGTACTGTGGATAGAACAGTTTTAACAAAGTCATAGCTACATATTTTTCTCTACATTTTTTTATTGAGACAAACTAATTAAAAGGCACAAACATAGGGCATGTTTACATGGACATTATAACAAACATATACATTAAAAGTGTAGGAATGTGTTGCCTTCCTGCTAAACAGAAAGTTCCTAAGCTTTTATATATACAAAAGTTGTACAATTTAATGTCCTAAAGTACAAAAGATCATTTATAAAATTATTTTACACTAAGTACTATTTATTTTTTACTATGTAGTTCAACCCCCTAGAACTGTTTTGTATAATGACACACACGGACACCTGTCCCTGATGTAGGAAGTCTGCCTCAGATACAAGGTATTTTGATGCCTGAACTGACACAGTGGGGTATAAACGGAAGTCATCCAGTTTGATAGTCAGTCCTGCAAACATTTTGCAAGATTAACACAACTAATTTCCATTTATCTTAACTGCAAGACTAAAAAATAAAAACAAAAACCAAAAACATACCGCAACTTAACAAAAAAAATCACAGCGCCTTGGTTTTCAATGAACTTTTTTTAAAAAACACAATGTTTTAAAAACATTAAGTGTGCATGATGGTGTGAAGAGTGTCTGCTTCCCTAGCTTTTGGTTTCTACTTTATGTACAGATAAAACATCCGGCTAAGAAATAAAAAGCACATGTCTCAACGTGCACAATCATTGCTGGGTTTCCACAGGGAGTACAGACAGCTGTCTCCCTGAAAACACCACAAAGCTGATACAAGTGTTTTCTCAAAGGAAAAAAAAAAGTGATGTCCATATTTACAAAGTTGAACAAATCTGCACAATACTTGATTAAGAAACGGAAGGAGGAAAAAAAAAGATACACTCTGCTTGTTCTGAAGGGGCATACTACCTAGTTAGTGGTTAGAATAAAAACTGTATACAATTTCATATAAGACATAAACTCTAGTGAGCAACTAACACATCTGTCCCTGTTGTAACATCAACAGGCTCTGATTGGGAGAGAGAGGGGCATGTCACATCCCAGTGCCTCCAGCGTCTTCCAATTTAAAGCAATATATTTAAACTGTTCCAAGGTACTCTGGCTCCTCAATAGGAGTCCCACTGGCCTCCGTTTGTTAGAAGCCTGCATTACCGCACACTTGATTTCTCCTCTGTAAGCTGCGGCCTTATCTTACCAAAACACAATTTGTATATTGATTTTTGTTTTATTTTTTTTGTTTTTTAAATTTTTTTTAAAAAGTCAACTACAATGCTATATTCCATCAGGATTAATATGCTGAGCAATATTTACATATCCAAATATCAGGTCACAATCCCTATTATATGTTGAAGTTAGAATGATAAATTATCATATGCTTTGCATATCAGAGCTGGTATCACCTTTCCCATAGGGAATGCTGCCTGAAATTAACATATTCCCAAAGGTAAAATGCATATTCTCTGAAATGCATTTTATTATGACAATGCATGTATTTACTCATAAAAAACAATAAACACAGACAATTGTACACTAGCTCTCAATCCGTGGATTTAGAATTTCAGGTTAAAATCAGTCATCCACCCTGTAAAGGGAGAAGAGTTTTGCTAGTGTTTAGAATAAAATGATTTCTTAGGATTAAAAACAGTAATGCTATTTTTTAAACTCTGAAATGGGCTTTTTTATGATTGATTTTAATTCTGGCATTTCATCTTGCCAACTACTATCCTGTTTAAGCAATGCTGTCAGCTAAAAGGAATTTCTGATTAAACTAAAGTGGTCCAGTGATAAGTTACATACACACCCTACTTTGAACAATCCCAGCCAAATTGGAGAAAAATGCTACTATACTCTTATTAACTAATATAATAAAATCTCTCAATTTTTATGGTTTACCTTTTGTTTTAATCAACTAAAAGTAAGTTGCTGGTAAATATTTACTTTAACCCATATTTTGATTTTATAATACTGTTTACCAAGGTGGTGATGTAGGCAAAGCTTGGGGCAAGAAAGGCATACTCTCCACAGGCCTCATTGCTATATTGAGAGGGGCGGCTAATGTCATAGGTGTGGGTAGGTTCATGGGAGATGTGATTGTGACAGGGTGTGCTATATTCACTGGGGCAGTGACAGGAGTGGGGAGGTTGACTGGGGTGGTGAGTGTTAAAGGAGAGGTCATGGACAATGGACTGGTTATAGTTACAGGATGCCCTATGTTCATTGGGCTGGTTATGTTAACTGCACTTGAAACATTTACTGGACTTCTCATGCTCATTGCAGCCGCCACTGTGACTGGGTTTGACATAGTCCCAGACGACACAGAGGACGTTATATTGAATGGAGTAGTGAGGGTCACAGGTGTTGTAGCAGCCGTGGAGGTTTGGCACAGGTTAGCAGCTTCTAAAACAAGAAGACAAAAAGGCCATTAGACTAACAAAATTCACTGTTTCTGAATCAACTTCTTTTAGTTAAAAAGGACAAACATTTAATGATCAAATTACAGTTTTCTACCAAGTGGTCAACAGGAAGGGAGGATTCTTCTAAATACAAGCCTAGGAGCTAGGGATCCTAGTGTACAAATATCCTTCCTGCTATACCTCCTGCAAGGACTCAGACAACTTGTGTAGCCTGGCACTTTTGGTTTCAAGTTCAGATATACTTACCTACCTCACAGAGGTGCTGGAAGGATCAGTTAACTTCTGCAAGGCATTCTGAGGGGTAGATATACCAAGTAGGGCTACAAGTTCTCACTACCACTTCAAGTAGTTCCTCTGAGTTTTAAAGACTTTCCTAGGAAGAGTCAACCACCAGCAGGCTGGACAAAAGAGCTTGTTTACATAGAGCAGGGCCAATGGTTACACAATAACAATCAGAAAAATTTCTCATAAGCCACACTGTAACTAGCAGAGAGAGAACTGTGTACTCAATGACATGTATGCTAAAGCCTTCTAAGAGGTGAAGCCACATTCTGTTAAGGTTTTAGAAATGCAAAATTAGGAAATGATAAACAAGCTATTTTAGTACCATCTGTTTACTTCAGTATTAGGGAAATCATTCCAGTTAAATAATCTTGGTGTTTCTTAATTACATTAAGAAATAAACAACACTCTCCATGTCCTCCGCCACATTTGCATTTCCTCTTCTCTTTCTGTTGACATACTCGATCTACTTCATGTCTAATGTTATTTAAGTGTACATATTACAAACAAGCACACCACAGAGTTCCCAGGTAAAGAGACCCTGCAGTGAGTTGGAGCACCCCAGTCCGTGTTATGCAGCAAAGCCTGGTCACTTCTTAAAGCAAACGTCCCTTAAAGGTGACACTCCCAACCTACCCCTCAATAAAATCCAGCACCACCTGCTGGTATGCCAGAAAATAATATGCAGTAAGGAGATGGAAGATTGGGCTGGCTGTGACATGGCTGTTTAAATGAAGAAAAGCATCTGAAACTAAAGATAGAGGTCTAAGCATGGTTCATATGTGGGTCAAATCATCTCAGGTGGACTCTTGAGTCAATAAGCAGTACAGGGGACCAGCAGGTGGCATGGTGGCTAAGGTGCTGGACATTCCCACATGGTCAACCACACTCTCTCTCTCTCTCTGTGTGTGTGTGTGTGTGGTCAAATTTAAAAATGAATGAATAAATAAAATTAAATAATTAAAGAAAAACAAGCAGTATAACATAACTTTGTCATCCTCAATATCAGAGATTTCCAAACCTGGCTGATAATCAAAACAACCTATCTAGGAGCTTTAAAAAAAAGATTTCCAGGAAATTGAGCAGTGAAATTAAATATAACCTGAAAATCTGTATTTTTAAAAAGCTTCCTAGGGGCAGGCATGGTAGAGCAATGGTTAAGTGCTGAGAGGAGAAAGTTAGACCCCATGTGGCCAACCTAGGTTCAAATCCTATCCCTAGCAGCAATGCACAGGGCACATGTATGTGTGTACCCAAGGTCTTGATGGGATGGAGAACTGGAGGGAAAAAAAGACTGCATCATGACCAGGTCCCTTTCAGAGGGTACTTTTGCTTTCTCTTTCTCTCCCCACCTCTCTCTCACTTGTGCACATGCACTCTAGCATTAAAAAAACAATCTAGCAGGGGCCAGCTGGTGGTGTGGTAGTCAAGGCAGCTGGATCCCACATGGCTAACTGTGCAGTTTGAGTCCCAGATCTGGTAGCTTGAAAAACAAACTGGGTGGATGTGAGTGAATGCCTAAAATCTCAAAAGGAGGGAGGAAAAGTGGAGAAGGGATTGAGCAGTGACCAATTCCCACAAAGAAGGATACTTTCTCTCTCTCTGTCTCTCTCCTGTGAGAGACATGTCTTCTGGCAAATGAAAACAAACAAGCAAACACAGAAGACCCTCTGAGATGATGATCTGACTGTCTTCCAAGTTTGGCAACTTATATCACCTTATTTAGACCTAATATTTAAAGGGACATTGCTGGTTTGAGGTTAGGTTTTCAGGTCAAGAATCTTTTCTTCTCTCCAAATGTGACATTTACTAACATCAATACAGAGGTTTCTAATTATCATTGGCCATTTCCAGAGAGATCCACACTACAAACGGGAATACAATAGCATTTTGTTTCACGGAGGTCAGAAGATGAGCTAAACAATCAAGTCTTATTGTGCAAGCAAACCGAAGTACAATACCAAATAGAGCACAGAAAGAGAGTGAGAGAATGAGAGAAAACCAGCTCACTTCTGAGATGATAATAGCATTGCTTAGGATATTCTCCTGCTTTCTGCAAAGGAATTTTCATTCTCTTGCGTGCCATCCTCCTACCTTTCCCTCCCAGTTTTCTTTTGAATCTAAGTGTCCTTTTACTATGACTTAAACACTTTCACTCTTACTATTTCTCTAAGAAAAAGTCTTTCATAAAATACTTTCAACCCACTAGGCAATGATCATTACGCCAGTTTTTTTCATTTATCGCAGCACTATATTCCCCATCCTTTCTCCTACTACAAGAGAAAAAAAAAAAAGGCATCTTACCTTTCTTCCTTGCTTTGACAGCTTCTTCCCACAGTCTCAGCGTCTCTACCTGCTTCCCTGGCCAGCTTGTCACATGTTGCTGCTGTTGTTGCTGCTGTTGCTGTTGTTGCTGCTGCTGCTGCTGCTGCTTCTGGTTGCTGGTCTCTTCACTCATGCATGCTATTCCAAAGGAAAAAAAAAACAGAAACACTATTTATCTTTTATTTTTTTTTAATTGCTGGAGGTGCACGCACTTGCCAGAGAAAATTTTAAAAAGTACACAGAAAGAGACAGAGAGAGGGACAGGAAGAAAACATCCCCCAGTGGAGAATGGTCATGCTGTGATCCCTAATTTTCTATCCTCTTGGGATCTGGGTACACATGCACACACGCCCAGCATGTTTTTCATCACCAGGGCTGGGATACAAATCATGGTCGGCCATGTGGGGTGTGGCTACCTTAATCATTAGGCCATGGAGTTGGTCCACATTTATCTTGAAAAAGTGTGGTTGTTATTTCAAAATCTAAAACTTAAATACTTTGACCCTTCATGCTTCTATGATCTAAAGATTTAACCTGACAGCTCTCAATATAGTGCATCTCTTTTGTTGCTTGTATCTATGCTGGTCAAAATAAATAAATTTATATAAAAATCTAGAGAACTAAAGAAAACCAATATAAAAGAGAAAATGCTTTCCTATATTAAAAAACAATTGTCTTTGAAAAATGGAAGTTGAAATAGCAAGAACTGGGGCAGGCAGGTGGAGTGGTGGTTGAGGGCACTGGACTCCCACATGGGTGACTGTGGTTTGAGTCCCAGACCTCCTGGTAGCTTGCTTGCTTGGTTGCTTGCTTTCTTTCCTTCTCTCTCTCTCTCTCCTCTCTCTCTCACTCTATTCCTCTCTGGTCAAATTAAAATAAATAAATAAATGAATAGATAGATAGATAGATAAATAAAGTTAAGTAAAATAATTCTTTTAAAAAAATAAATAGCATGAACTAATCAATGTTCATCAAAATAGCTAATGTATTTGTTTATTTGACCTCAATGAGGTACATGAAAAGTATGAAGCTAAAGTTAGAAAATAAACTCAATGTACATTCAAAGAAGCAAAAAATGGATGAGAGTAAAATATATTAAGTCTTCTCATTTACTTTTTTTTTTTTGGAGAGGTTTTTTCGCTATAGGGCGCGTGCGCTCGCCGGACAGACAGAGAGAGACAGAGAGACAGAAAGCGAGAAATCACCCCCCAGGGGGGATGGTCACGCCGCAATCCCTTCTCCTCCATTCTCCTCTCGGGATCTTGGGCACGCACGCACACGCGCCCGGTGTGAGTTTAAGCCACCAGGTCCGGGACACGAACCGCAGTCGACTACGTGGGAGTCCAGTGATATAGCCATTACGCTAACTGCTGGTTCCCTCATTTACTTTTGGATACTTTTTTTTTTTAGAATTTGGTATTTCTGCTGTACAAAGTACATTTATACTAGAATACAGAATTGGAAAAATGCTTTCATCTAGTCATTAGGGTGATTTTAAAAGAAAAAAGCCTGTAGAACAGAGGTTAAAATGTGCATTTGTACCAGGTCCTGCATGCCCAACTACAGTTCAAACCCCAGCCCATTGGCTTGAAAATCACACTAGGCAACACGTACATGTGCATCCAAAACCCAATGGAATGAAGAAATGGAGGAAAAAGGATTGAGACATGACTGTGCTCCACTGGAGAGTGTTTTATTTCTCTTTCTCTGATGAGCATATGCATCTTCGGGGAATTTAAAAGGAAAAAGCCTGGGTAAATATAACTATTAAATTTTATCCACAACTCTAGAATATTCTGTCTTCAAATCAGAATTTAAGGCAAAGTACATAAACTGTCAAGTGAATATGATATCCTATTTCTATACAGATTTGAGTTTGGAAAATACACTTAATAATACTGCTTTCACCCTTAAGATTATTTTCAAGGACATTGATATTTGAGAATCTTCCTAATTTTAAATAAAAACAAATGACAACTGTCTAGTATATGATGCAGCTTCCTTAGTCAGATTCTGCTGCCTCCATTCTAACACACTTGCACCTTTTATTCAAATCCCATAGAAGGGGCCCACTAAAAAGAAACTATGGGGGAAAAAAAGTGACTATGGGGAAATTCTGGTGTTCCAATATTGGTATTATTAGCAGACAACAAAAAGATTGAAAGCAGAATTAGTGGAGAACTTATTAGCACTATTTGCATACACAGATGTAAAGCACAGTTCTGACACCAATATGTTCTCTCCACTGATAATGGTTTACATACTTTGGTAACAGGAGGAACCACATAAGATAAACACAAATATAATCTTGAAAGAAGAGTGCATATCACTTTGATAAACTATAAAAACATATAGAGTTCAATGATCTATAATACAAAAGAAATAAAATCTGAAGCACTGCCTACTTTTACTGATGCCTTGTTTACATGTATTACAGTTGATACTTTGGCTCTGCCCATGGGTCTTTAAGTGGCTGGTGATGTACGCTGCACTCAGGAGCTTCCCACAGATGTTACATGATACCTTGCCTTCGTGGCGCACCATGTGTGTCCGCAGTCTGTCTTTGGTGGCAAAGGCAGCAGTGCACGTCTGCATGAGGGAGGAAAACTTTTTTTAAATATAGACTATCCTGTTCTACTCATCTTAAATACGTTATATTCTATGCATTAACCTACCAACATCAACGAGCTGACTGAGCTAGTTGAATTTTAATTGCAGGTGTTACCTAGAATCATAATCATAAGAAAGCACCTGATGAGTCTTAGTCCCTTCTACTTTGAGGAAAGAAAATTTATCAACACAGAGTAGTGAGATGTAAGCTTCAGATTTCATTAAACCTGCATTTAAACTGAGATCTGCAATTTACTCAACAGTGTAATGTTGAACCAATTAGTTAACCTATCTGATTTTATTTCTTCATCTATGGAACGGGGGTTATAATTCCATCTCACAAAATCACTAGTGGGTTGAGAGCCTGGCACATATAGCAGGCACTCACTCAATGACACTACACAGTTCCTTCCTTGAATGAGACTTTGCTTAGAATTCAAATAATTCACTTAATAAAAATCAGTCATTAACAAACTTAACTGAAAAGTGCACTGAGAGACTTCCAGAAACAAACTGGAATTATTGATGCCTAAAATGGTCATTCAATTAAGCAAAATTCTTAACCTTTTCACTATCACAAATTGTATCAAATAAAATCATTGACCTGAATAGATTTTCCAACAGCTACAAAGTGCTCCAACTTGGTAACAGACAAAAATTCAGCAGATGATATAACATTTGGGAAAAAAATTCACATTTTCTACTATTATAATTAAAACAATCTCAGCCAACAACCCAGAAGTTAATTTAAAGCCCTTTATTCTTTTATTCAATTCAAATACACAACAACCTTTGCAAGACTGTATTCTTTTTCCTCTTATAACAAAAAAATGCTGTTGCCCAAGGAAAGGGAAATGTAGTTTAACAAAAACAACACACTTAAATTTTCAAATGATCTTCTCTTACAGAAATAGAAGCTGTCATTTATATTTTATAAAACTAGAATTCAAGTGGACCACATTTAATCAAGTCAGTGATTTTAAGACTACCAAAGAACAGTGAGATTTGACTGGCTCAGACCTTCTGGATAATGTGCATTAAGTGCTACACTAAGGATAAGTCATTTTAACTCTTACTTGGCATTTGAAGGGTCTTTCTGTTGAATGGACATGTTTTACGTGACAGCTTAAGTGGTCAGGCCTGTGAAAGAGAGAGTTTCAACAGAAAATGTAATAGAACACACATAGAGAAATACTACTTACGTGACGCTTACATGCTTGGCAGGTTGGGGAGAATTTTACAGAAAGCTAGCAGAATTACAACCCCCTCCCCTCAGTGCAAGCCTCCTTACCTCTCCTACCATAAACAAAAGTTTCAGTCCTTGATTTTTCTCTCCTAGTCAACATCAATCATACTAGGTCTTTGATTCTTTACAATTACAGAATATTCAGTTTCAATCCTAACACTAGTAGGCAGAAACAACTACTTCTACATGAAGAGACTTCAAAAGTAAATTAAAGTACAGGTTCATTTTGATGTAAAACAAAATTGAAATCCACACATAGTTTTTCATAATTTGCATTTTCTGTGAGTTTTTTTAAGAACCCTCATATGAACTATAAAAATGAGTGAAATACTTAGTGCTCACAAAAAATATGAAAAAACATTCTCCTGAAAGTTTTATTGAGTATCCAAAGTCATCTCAACTTCTGAAAAATAAGTTCCTCTGAATTACTGTGGATCTCATGTGTAGTTCCCCAACTAAACTGGAAGCTGGTGGTTTTGCAGTAATAAGTATCTATGCACCAAAGGAAGGCCTGAATCCACTAAAGCAAAATAAAAGATTAATCACTATGTCACCACTTGTCAAACACACCAACCTGGAGTTAGACCTGGAGGCAAAAGACTTCTTGATATATCACCCATCTCCTCTAATAACACAGGCCTGCCCACACCTATTCTCACATAAACCATCTACATCACACAGATACAAAACTGAAGCTCAATGACACCATAATGAAAAAAAGCAACAAAATTCAGTACCTCGAGAAGCCTTTCCCACAAACACTGCAAGTGTAGGGTTTGGTGATGCCTCCTTCATGAGACCTCACATGGTAAGTCATCCGGTCCTTCCTCTTGAAGCGCTGATTACAAATAGGACACTCGAAGGGCTTCTCGTCCGAATGAGAGAGCTTGTGCCGATTGAGGTGGTACACATCTCGGAAGGCCTTCCCACACATCTCACAAGCATGATTCTTTTTGACAGGCTTACTGGGTTTCTTGACAGACTGGGTCACGGGCATAGCTGTGGTGCTGGCACTGCTACTGGGATTGGTGCCCGAGGAAGAAGTAGTGACTGTTGACAAGATGCCTGCAATGGTCGAGACCAGCGAAGTTCGGCTGCTGTCCCCAGCGATGGTAGAGATAAGAGGAACCACTGTGGTGGGAGTTTTCTTTGACCGGGACACCAACTTGATCCCTGTGTGGCAGGACTCGTGGCGCCTAAGGTGATAGCTGTCCCTGAAAGCTTTACTGCAGTAAGTGCACACAAATGAAGTTTTGGGCTTTTCTTTTTTAATCCCAATAGCATCCTTTAATGTTTCTGGTGCAGCCTGAGGTTTCTGAGTTATTGGTATCGGAAGCAATGGTTTCTGATCAGGGGGCTCCACTGCAGAGCTCAGGAGGGGCAGCAAGCTGTTCTGTGCTGCTTGCTGTTGGTGATGGGAGGCTTCATGGGCCTAAAACCAAATATGTACACTTCAGAAACTTAGCCTCTTTCAGTGTCCTTCAAAATTCAATATGTTCCAGACAATGAGGCCCAGCAGAAACAGACCCTGTAATCCACTCTCCACAGCAGAGACCCAGCAACCACCTAGTTACTCTCAGAGCTCCCATATAAAGAATTGAAAGTCACTGCACAGACACAAAACTTTTATGACTACGTTGCGACACTGATCTTGCTTTCAAACAGCTGACTGAACTACACACTACCCTGGTTCATAAGGGACACACAAACGGATGAAATCAGTTTGCATTAATCTGTCAGTGCTGAAACCAAGCTTAAATAACTTGTCAAAAAAATTATTCTCTAGATTTAAACATTTAACAGTACCTTCCTGTAGCAGTACACAAACATACCATATACACTCACACACACAATGACAAAGTCATCTACTTGTCTATTATGCAGGAAAGGAGAAACACCATGTCTCTCCCTTTCTGTCAGAAAACTCTTAGTGACTGGGACCAGCAGTTGGAGTCATGGCTATGTCACTGGACTCCCATGTAGTCAACCGCAGTTCAAGTCCCAGACTCAGTGGCTTAAACTCACGCCGCGTGCGTGTGCATGCATGCGTGCATGCCCAAGATCCCAAGAGGAGAATGGAGAAGAGACTGTGGCATGGTCATCCCCCCAAGGGTGATTTCTCGCTTTCTGTCTCTCTCTCTCTCTGGCTTTCTGGTGAGCCCACGTGCCCTATAGCAAAAGAAACCTCTCCCCCCCCCCAAAAAAAAAAAAGAAAAGAAAAGAAAACTCTTAGTGACTGAGGAGGGGGCTGTTGCTAAGTGGTGAAAAGAATCTAGTTTTCTGAATACATATGCTAGTTGTTTTCACTTAACTCTCCCATGTAGTCAACCGCAGTTCAAGTCCCAGACTCAGTGGCTTAAACTCACGCCGCGTGCGTGTGCATGCATGCGTGCATGCCCAAGATCCCAAGAGGAGAATGGAGAAGAGACTGTGGCATGGTCATCCCCCCAAGGGTGATTTCTCGCTTTCTGTCTCTCTCTCTCTCTGGCTTTCTGGTGAGCGCACGTGCCCTATAGCAAAAGAAACCTCTCCCCCCCCCCAAAAAAAAAAAAGAAAAGAAAAGAAAACTCTTAGTGACTGAGGAGGGGGCTGTTGCTAAGTGGTGAAAAGAATCTAGTTTTCTGAATACATATGCTAGTTGTTTTCACTTAACTCTGCTAAAATATTGGTTGAAATGAAACCTGCTATTAATCAACCTGGAAGGCATCTATGAAGGTAGCCCACAGCAAAACACCTGTCAGTTGCTCTTGAGTTAGTTTAATCTTACACTAGAATTTGCATCCTTTAGCAACAGTAACTGTTCAAATCCTTAACTCCCAAATATAGACCAATAAAAGAAAACCAAATTATAAAAAGTTAAATTCCTTTCATGTTCACCTTTCTCCAGTAGTTGTAGGTTTCATTAAAGTATTTTACGTTTACTATTACAATGTGCTTCTCCACTCCAAAACGAGGGGCTGGACTCTTTATGGAAATTTTCTTTAGCTGCACTAAAACCATAATTTGTTATAGATAGGTTCTTGGTATTTGTGAGTGGTTACTCTTACTTTTGATTCTTTCAAAATTCTCCATACTGATAAACATTATATACTGATAAATATTTAGGAAATGATGGGGGAAATTCCTGAAACAGTTCTTCCTAATATGTTGTTCTTTACCAAGATTTATTTTTTGAAACTCTTTGACAGTAAGCCTATGCTTGAGCTTTGTTATCCTAAAAGGAAATATTCACTCCAAAGTAAGAGTTCTAAATAAAAGCTCTAAGAGGCTTATCTCATTATCTTACACACCTTAAACAGTTATTTAATTACTCTGTAATCACAAGTCCTGCAGCTAACTTAAGGAAGAAATATAAAACCAATAACATATATGCACTCACACATGGATCCTCCTCTGATAGATAAAACATCAACCATATATGGCTCCATATGTACTTACTGGGAACACAACTAAACCTGACTAGTTTCTCCCAAATGATAAAGACGTGTGGTACCCAGAGTTAACTACTGTAATTTCAACTTAATAATTTTGATTCAGTCACCTTTTGTGCCCTGGAAGCACTCTCAGAAACTGTATGGTTACTTATGAATACCTTTCTGGACTTAAGGCTCATACTGAATTACATTCTACTTTTACTCTAATTGTAACTGTCCTGTAGCCATTAGGGGTCTCATCTACCCAGGTAACGTAGGGAGAAACTGTACAGAATTTGAACTCTAAATCTTATCCCTTTTCCAACCTGGTTGTAGGACAACCAAGTTTCCATACAGAATACACAATATACAATTTTGAAAGCTAACAGATCAGATAGTAGGGAATGCAAATTTTCTGGGCAAAGTTCAAACTTGCACTGTTTAGTCATTTTCCAATTCTAAACAATCATTAGTACAATAGGGTACTAAAAGTACTTTCTGCCATTTTATTAATTCATACGTCTGTGGCAACATAAAGTATTTTTACAGCTGAAACTTACTCTTACACGAGGATCATACTTAGGTCCCTGATTCTTATGCTGCGGAACCACTATAGGCATCACTCTCTAAGGATTCCCACACGTTTACATGAAGCCTTCTAAAAAGGGGAACTGGGTTTTCTCAGCTTGGCTTGCCTTCAGCTTAGTGATTTGTTTTAAAATATGACTTCTGGATAGGCTTTTATTTGACTATAATCACCAAATCAAAGTTTCAATTTTATCCCCCATCTCTTTCAACTGTGACTTTTTAACCCTGCCCAAGCTTTTCTTTCTCTTGGGCTGGCAATAAACAAAATAGAAATGTTATTTCATCACCCAGGGTGGTAGGATATGGCACCATGAAATCTCCAGTGCCAGAGGGTAAAAGATTTTGTACTGAAGCAAATTAGCATCGGTGAGTCATATCTTGAATGTCCTGTTAGGAGAACCATTCATCAAACATTTTAAGGCTATGGCTTTCACTTTCCATCAAATTATCTGGAAAGCAAGCAGGTATTATTTTAAAATATAACTTCAATAGGATGCTCTAGGAAACAAGAGAGTTTAACTTCATTTCCCCAGGGATAATGACTTAAAATCGGAACTGATTCAGTCTATTCATACCCTTCCAAATATTAGCATCCACACTTCTCTATCAGGTGGAAAAGAAATTTAGTAGCTGAAAATTAAATAATGCAAAGTCTAATTAAAAAGTTGAACAATAAATACTTAACATTTGCTTTATCTAGGGGAAAAAAATAATAAAGTATTCCAAAAGGTTTGCCAACTACCTTTCCAAAGAGGAGTTATAGGTTTCTCTTACACATAAGGAACTCTTCTTTTGAATCTCTACTGAGTTTACAAACACCAATATGGCTTTTATCACACGTGAAAATCATTTCGGTGGTCCATCAATCCCTACTTTTAAATGTCCACTTGCAAGCTTTTTCTAGAAAAGGCATTTGACACCTATACAACAAACTGGATACCAGCTAGTTATCCTTTCTTTCCCAAAGGAATTTTGAGTCAACTTATCACATTGCTACCTAGCTCATCAAAGCACAACACAACACTGGATCAGAATGATCCAGGAACAGGAAAGTGCATGACATCCATAATTCTGGGTATTTCAGCTTTAAGAAGCCTGAATATATTTCAACAACTATTTGAAGGTCAAACCATCCACATTTGAAAATAATATATGCCTTCAAACAATAAACCAGGGCCACACAAGAGATAATGTTTGATTCATCCAATTCCTTACATTAATTCCTCCGCGACAGATCTAGTGCCTGGGAAGATAATTTTTTTGAAAATTAGCCATCTATCCTGATTAGTGCCGGAAGGTCTCAAGTGCCAGAACTACGCGTTTGGGATTTCACGAAGTGAAAAAATCAAAGGAGGAAAATAACTCAGAGAGGCGGGAAGAACGCACTTAAAAAGTGACGAGCTTCCTAACCTCCTCCGGTTCCGAAGTTTGCCGGTGAGCTCATCACTACAGTCCGCTAAATGCTTCGTTTGCAAATATTGATAGAAACGAAGTCGGGCGGGGGGATAAGTTCCAGCCTAGATCTTCCAAGGAGGGGTCCTCCACCTAGAGAGCCGGTGGGCAGACGGCCAACGTATCGGCTACAGTCACTTAAGTTTCTTGAAAGAGCTTAGACCAACACCCCCAACGAGTGACTCATCTGGGGTCTTTGTAAGCGGACTTTGTTTGCTCGTCCACTTTCCGTCTCCACACTCGGTTGGAGGAAACGCTCGAGCTGAGCGAGAGAAAAAATCGCTGGCGGAGAAGGTCGGGCCTCCGGGATCCTGGCCCCCCCGCCCCCCCGGTCCCTCCGTCCCCCCGCCCCGGCCTGGCCTGGCCCGGCCGGGCTGGGGGATTCCCCGGACTGAATGGGACCGCGGGAGCGCAGCACAGAGCGGAGAGGGTGGCAGCTGCCAAGGCTCAGCGGAGGCTTGGGACAGAAAAAAATGTAAATCCAGTGAAAAAGTTTGGGGAGAGGATGGACCCCCCAAATGAGTATACATGGGGGGGCTGCGGGGAGGGGGGGGGGCGGGG